TGAGACCCCCCCTGCCTGTGAGCCCCCCTGCTTGGAATGCCCTTTCCTCATCTCTGTGTGGCGTCACCTCCTCCAGGAATTCCTCATGACACTGTCCCTTGGCGCCCTGCCCCAGGACGGGGCACTCACTGTGTTTCTCGTGTCAGGACCATGTCCATGTCGTTGCTGGACAGACCCCGGGGCGGGGCCAGCAGTTCTCTGGGGCCTCTGGGCTGACCCAGTGACGGGGGCGCTGGTGATGGGCAGCCACAGGGCAGGGCCCCGAGTCCCAGGTCCAGCCTCATCCACAGGGAGCCATGGGGAGGCGCTGGGCCAGGTGAACCTCCGTCTCACCTGCTGGTGTCCAGCTGGCAGGATTCTGGAGGCCTTCCCTCCGCCCACTAGAACCCCATAGTGTCTGTTCTGCCCGCTCCCAGCAGGCTCAGCCCAGACCCTGCCCACACTGCCTCCTGCTTCAGGGTGCTTCCCAGGGTCCTGGCGGCCCTTGGGGCAGGGTGCTCAGGGCAGGGTGAGGGCAGGGTTCCCAGGGTGGGGGGACAGGGTGCCCAGGGCAGGGGAGCAGGGTGCTCAGGGCAGGGGGGTTTCTTCTGCTAAGGGCAGAAATTTAAGGTGAAAGCAATGTCATTAATACTAAAAACAACTTGATCACTCTGAAAGGCAAGTTATTCAAGTCTGAGTCTCTTAGGAAACTTTGATAAAATCATTTTGATTCTGGAGTATGTTTGCGGGGGGCACCCTGACCGCCGCCCTGCCTCTTTCAGAATGGCATCCAGAAGTCGTGGGACTTCATGAAGACGCACGACAGGTGAGGGCCCAGCCCAGGCTCCTCTGACGCCCGGGGGCACCCTGCCTCTGCATCTGTGTCCCCCCCACGCACATCCCCACTCCCCCTGCTCTGCGGGTCACCCCAGGGGGACAGGGAGAAGCTGTCTGGGTGCCTGGCCCCTGACCCCTGGGGTGTGGGCTCAACGGTGACCTGGCCACAGGAGTGTGGTCAGCAGGCAGCCGGCCAGCACGGACCACATGTCCTGTCAGTCACCCGGCCCCCAACTTCCAAACATGCCTTCCCCACCCCACTGCCCCTCCTGCCAGGCTCTGAGCCTGACTGGGACCCTGGCAGCTCTGGCCCTGCCTGGGCCTCGCTCTCCCCATCTGAGCCAGGGCCCCATTTTTCCAGGCTGCCGGGGAGAGGAGGGCGGCTGGGAATGCTGGGAACAGGGCCCCCAGGGAGGTGAGATGAGGGGTGCTTCTGTGCTGAGCTCCTCCCCTGCCCCCCTCGCCCGCAGTGTGACCATTCTCCTGTTCAACTCTTCCCGGAGGAGCCTGGTGCTGGTGAAGCAGTTTCGGCCGGGTGAGGGCGGCCCTGTGAGATGGTGAGGGCGGCCCCGTGAGACGGGGTGAGGGCGGCCCCGTGAGACGGGGTGAGGCCCTGGGGTGGGGAGTGGGGCCCCTGTGCTCCGAGGGTTAGAACGCAGATGTGGGGAGGGGTCCAGGGGAAACTGAGGCCTGGTGAGGCGGCCGCCGTGTGGCTGTGACCATGGTCTGCCCTCCCCCCAACCAGCCGTGTACATGAGCGAGGTGGAGCGCCGCT